GTGTAGTCGCGCTGGGGACCCCGGCGGGGAAGGGGGCAGGGACTACATGTCCCAGGAGGCTCCGCGCCCAGCTGGGGCCTCATCCCGCGCGGCAGGACAGTGGAAGTTCCTGCGGGGCCAAGTGCAGGGCAGCGAAGTGGAGCTTCTCAGTGACTCGCTCGTGTTCCTGCCCCAAAGGCCTGAAGCACATCTGGATGGGTCACGTTATTTCAGGAGGAGCTCAGCTTTTCATATATTTCTAGTCCTCATAGTTGACATAGGGTGTTTCCCTCCTGGAAGTTGGAGTTGCTACCTCTCAATCTCTTTTGGAGGTACCCCCGCTCCTGTTCCTGAGAGCTCTAGCTCCTGGGGTCATGTTATTTCAGGAGGATCTCAGCTTTCAGTTTTTTACATATATTTCTAGCCCTCGTGGTTGACACTAGGGTTTGAATTACAGGGGGGGTCCCCATAAGAGACAAGAGCCCCCCCAAAAAAGATGAGGGCCCCCAGCCCACCCTGTGCCTTTCTAAGCACTTCAGGCAACGGCAGTGGCTTCTTCCAGCTTCCGGCTGCTACTGCCACAGACCCCCCACACAAAGAGTCAGAGTGTCATTCAAACCCTGGCTGACGCATCTCCCCACATGTTAAGCCCCCCACATTCTTCAATGCAAAAAAGTTCTTGGAGCAGAGCTCCATAGTAGGTTTCACGGCATTCACTGCCTTCATCAATCACTTCTGCGTTCAGAATTTGCCACCCAATTTCTGCAAATATTCCTACAATAGCGCAGAATTCTGGGGTATATGAGACAGAACTGGAAGGCAATCTAAATTTGCTGCTTTTGATGTGCCTGAGGTACTGAATCGAAGTGCCTTAAAGCCTCCCTTGCCGCCCATCTGCTCCCCAAAATTAGAAGCTACATAAAAGGAACCTGAAATATAGTATTATTTAAAATCTTACAATTTGCAGATGTGTTAAACGAGGTTTCAAGCACAAAATGCCCTTTTCAGGCATGAGAATAAAGTCAACATTTTTGTGATATATATACATTTTTGGTTGTTGTTATTTCTTAATATGTAAGATTGATAATATGACACTAATACCACATGATATGACAATATATATAACTTGCACACATTTTTTGTACAAATGCCATGCAATATGTACCCATTTCATATGCTGTCATGAATAGCTCCTTTTTCATATATAATGGTACACTGGTGTATATAACAAAACATGAAATGGGCCTGACATAAAGTCAGTGGACTGCGATTAACTTCTGTGAGCTTTGTATGTACATCCAATGTCTGGTCCAGCAAAGTTTGTGCTTGAGTATCACTAACTTAATACTGGTAACATTGGCTTCATTCAGCAATATCAGGA